AAGAAGAAGGAGAACAACAACAACAACAACAACAACAATAAAATGTCTCAGATTTATCTGTGAGTAAATTAAAGTCAGTATTTTTTCTTCTTTCTATTTGCCTCGTATTTCTATTCCACTGGGTTTCAGCTCTAAACTCGGAGCGTGTGTTTTATCAGCATGGAAACACCGCAAAATTACTCTCTTAACTACAACTTAATTAATCTCATCAAAAACAAACATTATACATTCCACTTCGTCCTAAAATAATTCCAGGGTGTTATTATCTGATTTGATCTGAAGGCGGTGTTTCCCAGGCTGTGCTGCAGTTCTCTCACATCGCTCACTTTAATGTTCTAATGTTCCCTCTAATTCAACATAATAATGTCTTTTGCTCAGACTGATTCATTTTCTAAAAATGTACTTCAGTTTTTGCCTCCTGTCTTGTTTAGGGCTCAATCACAAATCCAGAGAAACAACCAAAGACCCTTTAAAGGTTCTAAATTTTCCATAAAGAGGTGTTTGTTTAACTTTTACAAGTCTATCAAGACTAGTGCTATGAACAGTCGGGTCCTTAAATATTTGGACATGGACACAGTTATTGTTATTTTAGCTTTCTACTACAGCTTCAATCCGAGGGGCTTTACATCCAAATCGGGTGAATGGTGCAGGAATTATAGCACTCTTTATATGTGGCCCTCTCTTTTTACGGGACCAAAAGTAACTGGATAAAAAAAATTAAATGGTCATTTTTATTACTTGGTTGCAAATCCTTTGCAGTAAATGACCACCTGAAGTCTGGAACCCATAGATATCAGCAGACGCTGGGTTTGTTCCCTGGTGATGTTCTGCCAGGTCTTTACTGCAGCTGTCTGCTTGTTCTTGGTGTATTTTGTCTTCAGTTCTGTGTCCAGCAAGTGAAATGCAGCTCTACAGGATTCAGCTCAGGTGATTGACTTGGCAGAAAATTCCACTTCTTTGCCTTAAAAAAGTCTTGGTTAGCTTTCCACGTATGCTTCGGGTCATTGTCCATCTGCACTGTGAAGCTCCATCCAGTGAGTTTTAAAGCATTTGGTTGAACGTGAGCAGATAATAAAGCCCTACACATTTACATTTATTCATTTAGCAGACGTTTTTATCGAAAGTGACTCACATGTGGAAATACAAGCAAAGAACAATACAAGTAGTGCTAGCATACAAGAGTTTTAACTGAGTGCTAGAGGAGCAAAGTGCACAGAGTATACACTTCAGAATTCAGGGTCAGACACAATTTTCTATCATTTTCACATTTTGTCGTGGAATAGGAAACTTCTGGAGAATGAACTGAGAATGCAAGAATAGGTAAAACATAAACATTTCTAAAATGGCTCAGTGTGGATGTGGAGTGAATCTGAGTAATTGTTGCTTCTCACAGCGTGTGTAAATCCTCCTGTCTGTGTTGTGTCGCCCCCTGGTGTTGCAAAAGCACTAATGCAGCCGTGGACTATCGGACTATAATAAACATACAGTACATTTAATACATTGTTATTAAGATTTATACATTTTGCCTTTGTACTGAATCTCAGATCTTTTTCACTTCAGTTGTTTCCATGTTTTGACAGATCATGGCTTATCTCTCTGTATCTGTCCTGAATTCACATTCAGGCTGTGAATGGAGAGATCAGAGACTGCTGTGTTACAGCTTTCCACTTCTCCTGTAGTTTCCTGCATCGACCACCAGGTGGAGATAGAGTTTTATATTTTCACACAGTGAGCAGTGAGCAGGAACAATTACATGAGTTTAATGGTCCGAGTCAGTGTCCTGGCTCTCAGGATAGTGTGAGTCCACCTTGTTCAGTTTTACAATGACTTATTATGTCTTATTATGCTTTTATTAACACATAAAGCTGCTTATTACTGTGTTGTAAAGTTAAATGTGCTATGCACTGATACAAGAAGAAAGGAGTAAAAATGAGTTCTTAGAAGAAGTTTTAAAGGTCGTACCTCATAACAGAGGACAAGAGAGTTCCATGTAGAAGATCTTTAGGAAGCTCAGAAACCTAAGAGAAATTAGGGAAGAAAAAAAAACAGAGAGACAAAGAAAAGTTCAAAAAGAAAACAACCACAGAGAGAAAAAAGGTGATCAAGCAAACAAAAAGAAAAGAAATCATGGAAAGAAAGAAATTATTGAAAGAAAAAAAAATGTTTTAACTTAGAACATTTTAGGAAGTGAAGAAACCTAGCAAAAAAAGTTTAACTCAGTCAACAAATTTATTTATATTTGTACGTATCTATCTATCTATCTATCTATCTATCTATCTATCTATCTATCGATCTGTTTGTTTATACTTTGTTTTATTAGACAGACTGACAGACAGGCAGGCAGATAGATAGATAGATAGATAGATAGATAGATAGATAGATAGAAATAAGCTCACTTATTTTGAATAACAGAACCACTAGAGACACTACACATGACTATTTCTGATCAGTAACTCTTAACTGATTACATTTAATTATCTTCCCTCTTCACGTCTGAGGTAAAACTATTCATGGCTGCTGTGACTGATGATTTTCTGATCTGTTTGGTGACATGGAGGGAAAATTATACGTACAGTATTAATGAGTATTATTGAGAGTGCTTGAGGATTCTCTTACTAGAGCAGCCATGATTAAGATTGCACACTTGTAGAGAAGTAGTTTCAGTGAGAATCTCTCTGACTAGCTGTTTATTTATTTCTTTATTTACATTGACGAGCCATCTCTGACATGATCAGCATGCAGGTTTCAGAAAGTCTGGGTTTAGATAAGAGGATGAGCTCAAGGTCGTGTCCTGGCTCCTTATCACATCACTCATCTTTTTTTTTCTTTTTCTTTCACTTCCTGGCACTCAGTCAGCCTGAAGTAGCTGACCTTGTCTTCATTTACGTGCTCTCGCTAATGCAGGCTTCACACAGGATAGAAAATCGATGATCCGGCACTCTGGACATCTCACTGACCACAAAATCTGATGCTGCCTTGTAAATAATCACGTTTGAGCAGTGATAGGTTTCGATGTAGCATTTAAGCAGATAGTTGTAGTGAGTCTACTTAGATTCGTAAAACTGTCATCAGCATACTGTATCAAAGCTCCTCAGATGATTAAATACAGCAGAAATAAAATATATTCTGCGTATGATGAGGAACAGAGCCTCGTGATTGACGTCCTCCCTGCATTCCTCTTATCTCAGGATGAAGCTGGGACTCAGATTTCATATTAGAGCAAAGAGAGCTTCATATTAGAGCAAAGCGAGCTGTGTGAGTGTTCAGGCCTCCATTTAGCATGCAGAAATAAAGGTAATGTGTTAGATAAAATTCCAAACCATTCAGCCAGAACCATGAAGAGTGAACAAACTGAACTGTGGATTGAAGCAGAAAACAGGAAACACCTTGGCATCACTTAGCAACATGTTTTAAGTATGCAATATGGTAAATATTTTTTCTTCAAAACACTTCTCAGGTTTGCACACATGAACGTCCTCTTCAACTCAGACGTCAGCTTTTTAATTAAGGAATAAAACACCTGGGGTGGTGTGATGAAGCAGAGTTACTCTTACCATCTCAAAGTTGATTATTTTCCTGTAACAGCACATCCTGAAGTGTTTTATTCCACTTATACTACAACAATTTTCCAAGGGTTACAATTTTTATTAATTAAAGAACAACACATTGTACATTTTATCCCTTTATAGTTACGTTTAATGTTGTGCAATGTCCACAAGACAAGTTAGTTCCTGTTGTCACTTACGTTATAGCAGCTATAAACAGTTGTTCCCTCACCAGCCTCTCTTTTTTCTCTTTCTTGAAATAAATAAGACAAAAAAACACAGCTTGTCATGTTACAAAGAAACCGCTAATACGTCAGAAAACCTAATTACAGCTTTACCTCTAAAGGTTACAAAGCACTGACACTGGAGACTCCTTCCACAGATGTTAAATAAACATCTCCTTACAGAAAACTTCACAATATCAACGACTACACACGTGTTTAATCTGTTTATGTGAAGCATCCGCTGTTCAAGTCCCTGTGAATGAGTTGTTACTGTAGAACTGATAACATGCTAGAACAAGATCATTAATGTAAAACTATAAAAGAAAATACAGAAACACTTTCTGACCAATCGGAATTGAGAATTCACCACTGCTGTGGTGTAATAAACTTTATTTGATCGTATACAATTACAATAAACTGATGGTCCAATACAGACAAATTGCACAGTATATATTTACTCACTCACAGTAAGAAAGAGCAGAAATGGAGCTCTAATAAATGAATTGTGTTTAAATAAATAAATAAAGATTAGGGCTCCGTTTTTATAAATATTCATTTGATGTTTGTTGTTGGACTTCAGTTTATGTAAAAGATTTATGCAATACTCAATGCCAAAGGGCCACATTCAGGAGAACAATGTAGACCTGTAGAAAACTATCAAATTGGAAATAAATAAATAAATAAATAAATGAACAAACAGCTGTACAGAGGTCAGAACCCAGGGCAAATACACCGGTTTCCATTGTTTTTCATTTCCACTAGGATTTAAAATCTCCTCTCATTTTTTTTATCAGTTTTTCGTTTATACCTGAAATCCCACATCATCATCTCTTCCCTAAAATAACGGATTTACGGATTTATGTGTAATACGCATTCAGTTCAGTATTTGATTATTGCAAACAAACCAATTTATTCTGAATATTTATTTAGATTTATTTTTTATTCTTTCATTATAAACCAAATAAACTCAATTTTAAACATGATAGCCAAACAGCTCACTTATTTTTAATGATGCAACTTATTTTTCTTTAAACTCAGAAATGATCGAGGTCAATTTCTTTATTTATGCTCTTTAATAACGTGTTTAAAAATGTACTGCTACTTAATATTAAGATGTAACCCATAATCATACTGGTCATACTGGTATCATACCAAATCCTACAGGTAATGGACTACATTGCATGGTGGAAGAATTGTTTATTTGAATATTATTACTAATACATTAAAGGTGTCCCTGGAGGACTAGTGGTTAGGCCTTGGTGCTCTAACCGCTGTGGACCAGGTTCAATTCCCGGCCAGGGAACCAACCCCAGCACAAATCAAATACGTAGACCAATGATCCGCTGTGGCGACCCCTAACGAGAGCAGCTGAAAGAAGAACAACGTTAATAATACATTAAATTATTTCTTGAGCACTGGATTTTATACCACAGTGCGGTTGAATTCTTTAATTTGATTGATCTTTAGGTAGCTCTAAATGTAACATGAACGCTAGTTTATATTAATGCACTTGTTCTAATACATTGTTTCCATAGCAACAGCTCATACACAGGGACTTCTACGGCAAATGATTTTACGCTTTCCAGATTCTCTGGCAAAATGACAGGTTGCGTTTTTTGAGAGAGAGGGAGAGAGAGAGAGAGAGAGGCTGGTTTATTGTGGCTATAATGTAAGCAATAACAGGAACTAACTTGTCTCATGGACGTTCCGCAATATTGAATCTAACTTTAAACTGTTAAAATGCCCTTCATGTCATTCATTAATAAATTAAACATTGTAATAGTTGACAAATCACTGTGGTATAAGCGGAATAACACAATCCTGTCCTTTTTCTATTTATATTCATATAACTATTGTGTGTTATTCCTTTCTTATCATGTTGTTTTTCTCGCCATATTATAAAAGCAATAAGTCCCTCAAAGGCTTTCATTACAGTGATTTTTTATGTTATGCGCTTCACATCGTGCGTAAGAACGCTCGCCCTGTGGCTTATTTCTTTATTTTATTTATAAGACAGATTATAATTTGTTTGTTTCTTTTCCAAACTTATCATTAGGACTCCATTTGACACTATGGCGGAATAATGTGCATAATTACCTCATATCTCATCATAAATGACATCATTTTCTTTCAGTAAACAACAGTTTTAGCAAATATAACTCAATAAACATTACAACATGAACGTAGTGAAATTCTGAATCTCCCTAACACATTACCATTAATGATTAAATGTTTTTACAATATGACAAGCTCAAGTGCAACACAGTAAGCATGTCATTTCTTCCTCCTGTGTAGTGTTATTAGCATATAAGACCATGTGATCATTCAGGATGCCAAACTCGGGGATCAGTCCATGCAAGAACGAGGGCAATGAGTGGAGATATAAATATGCCACTGAGCTCCTGCTGCTAAGTGTGAAATATTCATCTGACCCAGTAAATGAATGACCTGGATGTGTAGCAAGGAAGGGGGGATCTATAGAATTAACCGTGTGTGTGTGTGTGTGTGTGTGTGTGTGTGTGTGTGTGTGAATGGCCCTCGTTGTTTCCGATACTAATACAGGAATGAGTAACCTTCTTAGTATTAATCAGTCAGGGATGTGGTGGAACATTTTATTTAGCTGTGTTTACATTTCCACGTTTTAAACAGCAGCCATGAAAAGTGGACATGTGTGTGTTCATGCACTTAGGTTCGTTCTCTGTATCGTTAGTGAGTTGATTAAATGAAGCACATTAGCTAGCTACATTAGCTTGGATGGAGTAGGGTTGCAGTGGACAAGAGCAGGTTTTGTTTCTGTTTTGAAAAACGCTTCTGTACAGCTCAAAGTAAAGAACGTTTCATTGTCTTTACTGCATCGTAATCCCTTGTTGCTGATAATCAATGAGCATCTGATTATCAAGAACAACATACTGGGTAAGAGCTGTAATTTTCACTCACCTGGTGTTGTCTGTAGACATTTTTCTCGCCAATGCAGCATATGTTTGAGATGTTTTATCACTGTAGGCATATGTTGTAGTTCCTCCTCGTGATATTTTCACAGAGCCTAGTTTGCAATCTGCTTTGCTTTGATTGTTATCATTAATCGTAAAATACATCCAGATTGCTGTCACTTTGTGTCGTCTGTTCATTAGAAAGACAGCGTACATTAGGATTACTCTCAGTACCAGAGCATTTGTTACGCGCAAGTGAGCACGGTATCAGGCCATTGCCCAAAAGTTTATTAGCCTAATGAAGTAAGCTTATTGTGTGTGTGTTCACATGTCTAGTTTAAAAGGTGCATTTCTTAAAGCTTTCACTCAACATGTCGGGTGAAAATGAAGGCATGAGACAACATGGCTAACAGAGACTTCTGCTAGGATCAATGATGAAGTATCAATACCTTCGATCCTGGTGTTTCCTTTTAAAAATCAATCCTAATATACAACGTCAATACTGTGTGCGTAATATTTTATCAGTGTGTGGCTATGAATAAAAATGTCACTGTGAGTCACTGTGTTAAGGGTGCAAACACAACAGGCTTTATGAGACCGAGATCAACACCCAGGAATTAAAGATGAAGAAAATGATGAAAACATTCTGATCATCTATCATCATTCATCTATCAGCAGGTAAATAACATACAGCATCATTCTATGGTTAACGCCACGAAAAAGTGTTTAGAAGTGTTTAAAACAAGTAAAACAGCAATAAATAAATAAATAAATAAATAAATAAATAAATAAATGTACTTCTTTTATTTTTATTTCTGTCATTTTTATTTATTTAATTGATTATTTATTTGTTTATTTTATTCATCCATGTTTAAAAGTGGCCTTGTTTTATTCCTTCTCCTACTACTCTATAAAACTACTCCTAGCCACTTGATCTATTTTTCCTCTTTATCACGACCACACATGCAGTGTGACCACTTCCTCTGCAGGTAATCTTATTTAAGAAGATTAGAAATGCCCTGTATTGATTGGTGAGGTTTAATTATGAGCGGTGGACTCGGCCGCTGTGCTCGGCTGGATGTGTTTAACCTGGTCGAATGAAATAACAATAACCTTTTCAGCTAAAACCTTTAGAACCAGAGAGGAAGAATCTGCAGGACGCATGACTCAGTGCAGCCGGAGTGCTTTTGCCAGTGATCAAGTGTTGCTTGACTTCATTTCAGCTCATAAAGAGAAAAAACCCAAAATGCTCTCTTCACTTTTCAATCATCACTCATCTCTCTCTTCTCATTAACGAGGATCTAACGAGCTGTTCAATTTCCTGAACCCGGTCTCTAATGATGGCAAAAATTGAGAAATTGTGTAAAAGGACACATGGGACACATTCATTCTTTCTAAAGCAATATGTTAAAGATCATTTCTAAATAACCTCTGACTTTTTACAAGCCGTGAAAGACAGCTTCATGGATCATTGTGTCACTTTAGGTGAAAGCAGGGCATGTAGTCATTTCAGAAGACAGAGAGAGAGAGAGAGAGAGAGAGAGAGAGAGAGAGAGAGAGAGAGAGAATAAAGAATGGACTTGCATTAAGGTAATTATATCGTTTCCATTCTTGGTTTCCATTCTTCCATTTTTTCAACAGCGAAACCTAGAAATCAGTGATATCCAGACGCTTTCAGGGATCTTTTTTACTCTTTTATATATAAAATTCAGCTCATTTTTATGAAGCTTGTCAACAGATATGAAGGTCCCTGTAATGATTTTGCTGTTTCTGTGAGTTTACTGATGTTTTTATTCGTTTAATTGTTAGGAATCTAGGAGCAAGGACATACTGAGGCAAAAGGGTGCCAATACTTTTTCAGCCACCAATCTGAGATCAGTGATTAAACACTTTCAGGCTTCAAACTGACCTTCTTTTCCTCACCTTTATTAATGACTGACGTCACGGCCTCTTGGTCTCGTAGAAAATGTTCAGGTTTTATGCTTACACCTTGAAGAGCTCCGCTGTAAATGAAATTATTTGGGATAAATGCTGGTGTTGCAGTTGCTATGGGCTGCTAGGGAAGTTGATTTATAGACTATACAGTTGTTGGAGTATGGGAATCTGAAGGGATCATCATTATCTGTGTGCACGAAGTGAGGAATAAGACATAATGGACTGTGCTGTTATATGAAAATAATTGGTATGATACAGCCTGATGCGAAGTGGAACGTTTTTTTATGCTACTGTCAGAGCCGTGCTGTTATAGAAATCAGTCAACACCTTCTGATTCTGAACCGTCCTATGGTATAATCTTCAATAAAACCCATCTACATTTTCTTTGTGCCTGCCTGCAAGTCTTTTCCAAAAATTCCACAATCTAACAGTATCACAAACAGGATGTGACTGAGGTGCTGTGAATTCTGTTTCAATGAAAAATCAGAGGTAAGCCACCTGTTCTCCTTCTTTCCTACTGAAATATTTCACAGCTCTCATGCCATGCGGTATATAAACAAACCTGTAAAAACCTGTAGAAGAGATTACAAGCAAGGTTGCAAGAGCTTAAGTCTGGCATCGTGGTTTCCAGAGTGACAGTCACTATGTGCTTGTGTTTATGTTTTGCGATCTGCCTTTGTTTTACTTTTGGTCCTGTCTCCGCCCCTGTCTTGCCATTGGTCTGTTACCTGATCGTGTTCACCTGTTTCGTATTAACCGTTGATTAGATTCTGCATTTATACCCTGCTGTTGCAAAGTCTTCAGAGTTATTTTAAGTGACTGAGCCTTGATTTCCTAGCTCTATACATCTTTGTACTTTCTGGTTTTAATTCTTGTCTGTTTCTCTAGTTTACAATTACAGATGCCCCGTATTAAACCTCTCTTTTTGTGTATTGAACCATGCTATTGATTTTGATTTCTGATTTCTTGGATGCCTAAAAAACGTGCCAAGCTCCTGGACTTCTACATCTTCTTCTTCGACTTCTAAGCATCTTCCATCTACTCACCGCACATTACAATAGGACTTTCTGCTAACGCTGTGTGTTAAGTGTTTATGAGCTCAAACTGAAAATATCTGGGCAACATTTCTGATTTTCCAGTGTAACAAAGTGAGCAAGAATTGAAAGTGTAGCACAATTTGTGGTACCTTTCAAAACTATTTAAAATAAATGCAAGCAAATTGTTTATCACTGACTTTGACTAAATGTGAGGTTGCACAAAATCTTTACCATCCCTCACTCTTCAAGAACCTAATTTCTTTAGTATTATTCATTTTTATATATTATAAACTTGGCTTGTTTTTATGAAGCATGTCAATACATCTGTAATGATTCTGATCACTGTTTCTGTGATTTTTATTCAGTTATTTTCTAGGAATCCAGTAGCAAGGACATAGATA